ATCTTTGTTAGAATAATATTCTTAATTAGCCGACCAACAATTACTTCAAAATTATAATTTCCAGCTTCTATTATTTATGATATAACTCTTAAGTTTTAAAAGTACTCTTTTGATTGCAATAATCAAAAATTATTTTAGGAGTTATTCTACATCCAAATTATTCTGTGCGAATATTCCAGGACGCAACAGTTATGCTCTTAATACATTTGTCAGTACAGTTGATCTATTAGACTCCATTTAACTACTTTTGAATATTGAATAAAATATTTATTAAAAAATTTATAATTTTAGATAGGTTTGTGTGGTCTGTTGAGTTGTTATAAATCACTATGATTTTACTAGGATTTGGGAAAGAGAAAGAAATTGTTGATTAGTAGTTTAGGATCATATCTTTGTTTATAGATATTTCTCTTTTAATATTTGTAAAATTATGACTAATTTATTATTCAGCTCTGTAGCTTCTATATGTAGCCATATACAGTAGTGTAGATATATTTTGATGAAAGAAAAAAATCTTATGGATAAGTTTATTTTCAGTAATTGAATATTTTAATAATTTTATAGTCTGTAATTTATTTAAAATGAATATTAGAAGAAAACCTGAAACATTCCCAAACTATATCTTAGGATTTGCCTGTCACAGCTCAACTCAATAGGAACTATCCTGATCGGGTTGGATTCTCACAATTTCTTTCTCTCAACAAAAAATAAATAGTCAACAACTTATAAGAAAAAATAAATTTTTTGGATCATTCTCCTTTTTATAAACCAAAATAAAATCAAACACTTGAAGAAGATTTAGGATAAGCATAAAGTGTTTCAAACCTGGCACCAACTCAGAAATAATGGAATAGTCACACGCAAATAAGAGATGATTAAGATTTTTCTGGGCTGTAGCACAAAAATTACAAACGACACATTCAAATTCCTTTTACGAAGAATATCCGTCATTTTTAAACCTTTCAATAGAGCCATTCAAGCAAATCAAGAAAATTACATAGCAATTTATGTATGACAAATAAAAGAGCACCATTCCAACTTAGTTAAACCGTCATAAAAAGCAGCATGAAACATCTTAAAAGATGAATGATTCACTCCACCCCATGGGACACATGAGCCAATCTGATTAGAGATGGTAATAGAAGAAACAACTAAAGAAATAGTTGCATGAAAAAAGATTGCCAAATTCCAACAGCAAACAATAATCAAACCACTCATAGAAGCAGCTCTGAGAGAAGAGCAAGTAATATTTGTTCTACTGCAAGGATCCCAATAGGAAGAAAGTGAGCTATTAGGATAAATCATGAAAGAAAATTTTCTTCTTGAAGTAAATGTTGTTGGTAATTATATTCAATGAATTGGGGAGAATTAGGCTTCAGTTGGGACAATTTTTTCACTGCATTCTAAAATATCATTTTACTATAATATTTTAAATTTAAGAAAATTTTTAACTAAAAAGTTGCGTTCTAAAATATCTTTTGGTATAGTTTTCTTAATGCATTCTAAAGCGGCTTTCTACTCCAAATATTTTTTGTACTAAAAAATTATTTTAGAAAATAGTAAGAAAGTAGTCCCAAACAAAGCTTTAAAGTTTCTTTTTTATTTGGTTTTATTATATAGAATTGTTGAGGTCTCTAAAGTCGCAAAAGTGAGCCATGGAAGGAAGTGGTTGCCCCCATAGGGCAAAATTATTACGTGTGGTTACCGGGAGCTCTCTGGAGGTCAATCAAGAAGCGCCACGTCACCAATATGTTGTGTACTGTAATGTGTACAGCTGTGTATCAGGTGATGTGACACGTCCTGATTAGCATCCAGACGGTTCAGTGACCGCACACAAATAATCTCTCCCCCACAAGCCCCTCTAGCTCCCCCATTACAAACTTTCATCTATATCATAATTTAGTTTTTTCTAATAGAAAATTCTTAAATTTGAATTGATTTATGAAACATTGTTGATACGTCGTTAAAAAATTTTCTTGACCGGGCACGAATCTTGATGCAAAATCAAGTTGGAAACTTCCAAAATTAAAATTGGAACCATACAAACTCCGATTTCAGCAAACTTATAGTCGAACTGAGCGTCTCGGAAATACGAACCAAACGACACCAAATTCGACTCAATCCGAGCCCAAATGAGTACAAATCAAGGACCCGAAGCACTGTTGGAAGGTTCAAACCACAATTTGGGTTACCAAACGGTTTCCAAACATAACAAGCTTATAGTCAAATCAAGCGGCTCGACGAGACAAATCCAACGAGCCCAAGATCGCTGAATTCCGACATCATTAAGACCTTCAAATGTCTGACAAACGGTCTATGATCAAGGGATTCAATATCGATCATCCATTGAACCACTTCACATTTGCCCCTGATCTCTCACCTATTTACAGGCCATGCCACTCCAAAAAACCTATAAATAGACCTCTCATTTCTCTTGAGAGAGAGAGGGAAGCAAGAAAAGAAGAAGAAGAGAAGGAAGAACTCCTCCTTGACCACCGTTGGAGTTTTACCGGACCACCGCCGGACCTTCGACGGACCACCACTTGAGGCCATCAACTCTGCCTGAACACCGCTTGACGCCGTTGCTCCGCCGGACCACCACTTGACGCCCTTACCTTCGCCGAACCACCGCCTAACGTCGTTGCTCCGCCGGACCACCACTGGAGGCCCTCACCTCCGTCGGACCACCGTCGGACCACCACTTGAGGCCCTCACCTCTATTAGACCATTGTTGCTCTGCGGGACCACCACTTGAGGCCCTCACCTCCGCCGGACCACCGCCTAATGCCGTTGCTCCGCCGGACCACCACTGGAGGCCCTCACCTCCACCGGACCACCGCCTAACGCCGTTGCTTCGCCGGACCACTACTTGATGCCCTCACCTCTGCCGGACCACCGCCTGACGTCGTTGCTCCGCCGGACCACCACTTGGGGCCCTCACCTCAGCTGGACCACCACTTTAGGCTCTCACCTCCGCCGGACCATCGCCTGAGGCTGTTTCTCTGCCGGACCACCACTTGAGGCCCTCACCTTCGTCGGACCACCGCCTGACGCCGTTGCTCGCCGGACCATAGCCAGATGCCATTGCTTCGCCGAACCACCACTTGAGGCCCTTATCTCCGCTAGACCACCGCCTGACACGGTTGCTCCGTCGGACCACCACTTGAGGCCCTCACCTCTACCGGACCACCGCCTCACGCTGTTGCTCCTCCGGACCACCACTTGAGGCCCTCACCTCTGCCGGACCACCGCCTGACGCCGTTGCTCCGTCGGACCACCACTTGAGGCCCTCACTTTCGCCGGACCACCACTTGAGGTCCTCACCTCCGCCGGACCACCACTTGAGGGCCTCACATCCGCCGGACCACTGCTTGATGCCGTTGCTCCGCCGGACTACCACTTGAGGCCCTTACATCTGCTGGACCACCGCCTGACGCTGTTGCTCCGTCGGACCACCACCTGAGGCCTCACCTCCGCCGGACCACCGCCTGATGCCGTTGCTCCGCCGGACCACCACTTGAGGCCCTCACCTTCACCAGACCACAACTTGAGGCCATCACCTTCGCCGGATCACCGCCGGAGGCCCTCATCTTTGCCGGACCACCGTCGGAGGCCCTCACCTTCGCCGGACCACGGACGGAGGCCCTCACCTTCGCCGGACCACCGTCGGAAGCCCTCACATTCAGCGGACCACCTCCGGAGGCCCTCACCTTCGCCGGACCACCGCTGCAGGCCCTCACCTTCGTCGGACCACCGCCGAAAGCACTCATCTTTGCCAGACCACCGCCGGAGGCTTTCACCTTCTTCGGACCACCACCTAAGGCCTGGATTTCTGCTAGGCCACCACCTGAAGCCCGAATTTCTACCGGACCACCACATGAGGCCCGGATTTCTACTGGGCCATTACCTGACGCCCAGAGTTCTACTAGAGTACCACTCTACTACAATGGTCTTTCCGACCTCCTGCCGACTACGATCCTTTTGACCTCCGTCACCTACTATGGTCCTTCCGACCTCCATCAACAGAAAACGGTCTTTCTGACCCTGGTCTCCTGCTGACTACGATCCTTCTGAACTACGTCGCCTAATACGGTCCTTCCGACCTCCATAAACAGACAATGATCTTTCTGACCTTTGTTTCCCGTCGACTACGCTCCTTCCGACCTGCATCACCTACTATGGTCCTTTTGACCTCCATCGCCAGACAATAGTCTTTCCAGTCTCCAACCTATCGACTATGGTCGTGCCGACCAAATAAACATATTTATGTTGATTATTGTAACTCCCATCATGTAATGCACTCTATATGATGTATATTTGTGACATCAAACAAAGGCCTTCTCCTAAGGAAGGACCTCATTTGTAATCGACTGCAAATACTAGTGGATACATTCAAACTGGGCCAGACCCCGTGGTGTTTTCTCCTTTTCAAGGGTTTTCCACGTAAAAACTCTGGTGTCTCTTATGAATGCTACACACTCACACTTATCTAATTGTGTGCTGGAACTTCGTACAATGCTAAGATGTTAAAGTATAATATTTCTCTACTGCCGCGAATACTCCATGACACAACAATTGTAAAATGTATAAATTAAAGGGGGATTTAAATGCATATCATTTTATTTCATCTTAATTATATTTCTAACATTCAAAATATTGAATTACATGCCTACCACCCATGAAGCAAATATGGATGCATGGAATGAAATATTAAAGTTTATAGGATGATCTGAATGATAGAAATGAATTATATGAGTGATATATTTGATATTAAAGTTGTATATAAGTGATAAATATGTAATATTAATGTCTATGATGTGCATGTAAATTTCCATAAATTAAAATGAAAAGGTAGATTTTCTTTATTTGATCGAAGAACCTTTTTTGTAGTTAGATCATTAGGTTTCTTTTGAATAATAACAACGACATTCTTTGAATAAAAAATTTAGAGACGTAATGAAGTCCACGTCAAAAGTTTTCGCCTAATCAGCATGTGCCGAGATCCTAATCCCTACAAAATTTCGCAAACGATAGCGGAATTTTTTTCCGTCATCTTTCTCCTCTGTACCCTAATTTTTTTGATTGGGGGGAATGATTGTTTTACCCTAATCAATTCGTCGACGTTATTCCATATAAGAGCTACACTGCTTTGTCATCGCTAAATTATGCCATGGAATGAGATTGCAAGTTGCAAAAGCAACTATGGCTGTTCGTTGCTCTTCGACTTCGCCTGCTTGGCGTGAGAGGTCGTTTTGAACGAGTAGCTAAACACCTCCTTGCCGTTCTTCTGTTGGATCGGAAGTCACGACGACGACGGGAGCTTGCTTGTTGCGAAGGTAGCCATCTTTCTTCCCTTCGCGCGCTTCTTCGTCCAAATCCCGTAAATCCGCCGAACTCCCGGATTTAGTAAGAGGGAAACGGAGGATTTAACTCGCTGTGAGATTTAACAGTTCCCTAAATCCTGTTTGGAAGGATTTAGCATAAATCCTAAAGTTTCCGAGAACTGCTTGGGTCTCTAAAGCCGCAGAGATGAGTCATGGAACGAGGTGGTTGCATCACCTCAGTAAGCTAAGCTCTGCTAATATCTCGTCTGGGTTGATCGAGAAAGGGCAGAATCGAGTAATTGACGCTTCTCTCACGCTGATTCGTGAGAGGGCCAAGCTCAAGGTGCGCTCTGTTTTGATGCAAGATTTATTGTTTTCTAGGTAACTTATCTTTTCCTCTATTTTCTTGAATAGAATAAACATTAGTGTCCTTATTAGGGTGTTTTCCATGCAAATGATGTTTGTGGGTTATATTATTAAAGAAAGATGACAGCTTTTCAATTTATTGTGCCATGTTCTATGGTAGTTATCCTTTGAATTTTGAACCGACTCGCCTGAAGAAAAATAGTTAGAGCTAAACAACCTACCCTTCTTCTTGATGCGCTGCAAGATAACTCTCTTTTTCATGAAACCGCCAAGTTAGTAGGCATGAGAACATATACTGTCCGGTTAGTAGGACGGATTTGTAGACAATTTCTACGCATTATTGTTTAAAGGTGATAACTAGTTCTCTGTTCTTAAGATTTGTGTATGAAGTTATTGCATTGATTATTTTCATCATATATATACAATATCCTCTTGATAAAAAATCATAAATTTTCTGTTTGTAACTGAATAGCTTACTTGATGTCTTTCTTACGGTCATGACACTGTAGATTTATTTCATTTCAATTTTTGAATTTGAGTATTTTTATTTAATTGGACGTTTTGATTGTCAGTGAATGTAGATGACAAAAAACATATCTTGCTCAGGGCCGGAACCGGCCTTGATTCTTAGGGGGGTCAAATTTATAAATAACACCTTTACACAATGTGTTTAATTCTGCTAGGGGGCAACCACCTAAAGATAATAGTATTTTATTTTTTTTAGTGGGGAAATTGCCTAGAAACTCCTATAATAAAGAGTAAAAAAAGGATGGAGGGGAACAAATTACCTTAATATCCATAGAATAAACAATTTTTTAATTTTTTTAGGGGGGCCAATTGCTCCCCCTAGGGGCTAGGTGGTTCCGCCATTGATCCTGCACTAAGCTGATTTGATTTTCATGTATTATCTAAATTTGTATGTGGCCCATTTTCTTGTTGCTTAAGCACTAACAACAGATTCAATAAACTTGGCAACCTCACGTTATTTCATTAAAATGCTTGCATGCAACTGTAAAACTTTTTTAGGAACCGTCTATGTGTACCTCTGTCAATTGTACGACAACTGGAACATTGTTATATGCAACATAATAACAACTAAAGAAGCTATGGCAGTGAAAGGAAGTTTGAGAGTCCAATGTGTTTGCTGGAAGTTGATTTTTGTGCTGTAAGCTTTTTTGGACATTTACTGAAGTTGCCTACACTAAGATATTGGTGAGACCTACAGTGCTTTTTGGCTCAGAATGTTGGCCATTCAAAGAGAAGCATAAAATTAAGTTTAGTGTTGTAGAGATGATGATGCTCGGGTGGAAGAGTGGTTTTACACTTGGAGATAGAATATAAAACGAGTGTGATGAGGACATCCGACCGTGAAAGTTTATCAGAGGAGGCGAAGATTGACAGCTATGATTGTACCACTTTATTTTGAGTTATTATTTGTATTTTGATTTATTTATGCATTTTTTCTATTTTTACCCTCACTTGAGGGAGTAGGCTTAGGTGACCCTGGGGGCACTTTTGTTATTTGTCATATTATTGTATTTTGGCTATTTATAACCCCATCCACTTCTTTTTGAGGGGATGGATGATTATTAAGAGAAAATTCTGCACTTTGTTCCTAAGATCTTTAAGAGCTCTTATGAGAGTTGAAGTATCTAAGTGAGAACAACATATTAACCACCAACCGCAGGAAGCGTCAGAAGAAGCGTCCGAGCTCGTGATTTGAAGTCCCTAGGTGAGGGTAAAGTATTACCCATCAGCCGCAGGAAGCGTCCGGGCTCGTGGTTTATCTTCTCCACCGACTCCCTCTCCTCCTCCCCTATCTGCCACCTTCTTCTTGCTCTGATACCAACCTCTGCTTTCCCCAACCTTTGGCCGAACCCTTTCCCCACCCAACCATCGACCCCACTACCTTCCTATCCGCCGGCCACCATCCCCATTCCCCTTAGCTCCAAAATTTCAAAATCAAGCATTCATTACTTTCCTAATTTAAACTGTTGTAAATTTGGAAAGTCAAAAGATTTCATATTTAAATAATTTTGAAATTGAAATTTCTTTTCTAGAAGAAAAGAGTTATATTAGTCTTAGAAAAGCTCCTCAAATCATGCTATTTAAAATTCAAATAGAAAATTACCATGATTTTTTCCCTAATTAGTATTTTAAGATTGGCAAGTCATTAAACACCCCACCTCTCCACTTTGATTTCAAATTTTAAATTTCAAAGGCACAATCACTATTTTCCATAATTAGCGCATTTTAAATTAACAAGATTTTCAAATCAGATTTTAATTTACTCAAAATCTGAAATCCCTTTCCTAAAATAACCTGAGCTATATTAGAAAACCTACTCCAATCATGCCAATTTGAATTTAATGGGAGGTTGACCTTAATTTTTCATCCCATAATTGATAGTCTAATATTGACAAGTCATAAAACACTCCAATCAAGTCTCCATCAAAGGGGCTAACCCCTCCCTCTCTCCCCTTCCTCTGTTGCTCCTTCCAATTAAGTCTCTCAATCGATTACTCCAAATTAATTTCAAATTTGGGATTTGATTTAATTCCTATTTCCTTAATTGAGATATCATAATTAGCAACTATATTAAATCAATAATCCCACCCCAATCATGGCTAGCCTGGTTCTACATCTGAGTGTATACATGAAATGGTTAGAGTAGCTCCAGCAGCATAAAAGATTAGAGATAGTCTCCTTAGATGGTTTGGTCATATAAAATGTTGGCCTTTTGATGATCTGATTATGAGATTATATATATTAGATTAGGGCTGCAAATTAACCGAGCGTTCGACGAGCTACTCGTGGCTCGGCTCGATAAGAGTTTTTTTATATTCGTTTGATAAGTTAAACAAACAAATTTGAACACCTTTTGATAGATACTCGATAAGTAAATAAACAAGCTTGAACAACCTCGTGTTCGGCTCATTTATGTTCACGAACAATATTATTTAGAGCTCGTGAACATACTCATTAAGAAGTTCGATAAAGAAGCTCATTATGTCATATTTAATTAAAAATAAATATTTTATGTTATTTGACTAATAAGATAATTTTGGGGGGGGGGGGGGGGGGGGGGGGTTAGTCCCACACCGCCTATTGATGAATTTATTTTGTGTTTGTGGTCTGCTTGTCGAGCTGCTCAATAAGCTTGTAGTTAAACGAGCTCAAACCGAACACGAGCCAAACACGAACATAAGAGTTTTAAACGAGCTCGAGCTCGAACGACTATTCAAGAAGCTCGACGAGCTTCAAACCGAGCTTGAGGACTTTTTTAACAAACGAGCTTGAACTCGAACAAGGTGAAGCTCGGTTCGGTTCGGTTCGGTTGCAGCCCTATATTAGATATGACCTATATTAAGATAGGCCTTGTTTGGTTGCACAATTCCTTTTACAGAAGTTCATTTAAAAGCAGTTGTCAAGAAAATTGAGTTTTAAAAAATGTTGTTTAAATAAATTAATGGTTGTTTGGTTAGATTGTTTTTGGCATGCTTATGCAAACCTAAAAACAGATATAAATTATTTGGTTGTGTTATCAGCTTTAATGTTTTAGACATAAAAGACAAAATTGTCCTTATATTAAAATTAATTAAATGTTTTTTTTTATTCTAAAAGACATTACCAAATATAGAAAAATTTTAAAAACTCTCATTTGAAATATCATATCCAGATATTAAAAAAAGAACTTTCTGAATCATTTAAAATTATATATAATGTATCAATATTTAACATATGCAATTTCCCAAAATAACAAAATATAAAATATAAACTGATTTAAATCTTGGTTAACTTTCATCCATAGCAGTAAATAGATTTATCATGGGGATAATCAAATTTATGAATCTATGTTAGTCGATAAAAAAAGTGAAGCCTTTAATAGTCCATAGTGGTGCAAAGATTAGATATTCAAAATGCATTGGAGGGCTAGGTGTATGATACGGATATTTTTGGTGTTAGAAAACCATAATTAGAAGAAATTTGCTTAGTTTCACATGAGCTAATGATTTTCTTACAAGCATTTATGTTAAATCCTAGTCGTCCTTTGGCACTTGATCTCATAGCTAGGATGGGAATCCGTGGGAGGCTCTCCTGGATCACACCGATCTTTGTTAAGTCTCAGCCGTCCCTTGGCTCTTGATTCTATGGCCAGGATGGGGATCTATGGGAGGCTCACCTAGATCACGCCGATCTCCTTCCATATTCAGATGGCTGATTTAGAAGGATTATATTATAGCAATTATGCATGTTTATGTAGTTATTGTTTCTTTATTAAGATATCTTGTATAGATCTATAAATATGAATAGTTTTGTGTAATAAAAAGAAGCATTTTCCCTCTCAAATTCTCTGAATTTAACATGGTATCAGAGCAAGGCATTAGGTCTTCTTAAAAAATGAGAGCATGAGAGAGGGAGAGTTGTTTCTTGCATTCTCCAGGGCAGCCGAGCAAGTGAGGGAGCTTCCCTTTGCGGTCTTCTGCGTGCGTCTCTCGTGCATGCCTACCTAGGGGTCGAACTAAGTGAAGAAGAGGATCAAGAGAGGAAGCGAGTAGGAACTGCATGCTTGTGTGCCTGAGCAGGAACGATCGACCCTCATGGGTGTGCTGGAGCTGAACCGAGCAAGAAACGAACCGTTAAAGAGCTGCTGTACGTGCCATCAAATCCTCCACTTGAAGAGACCCTCCTTGCCCCAAATCCTAATTGCTTCTGCATGTTCTTGATTCGACACTCTCAGTTCCGGAAGATGTACAAGAAGGTCGAAGCCTCCTTCTGGACAGTAGAAGAAGTCGACCTCTCCCAAAATCTCCGCCATTGGGATCAATCGCTAAAATCGGAAGAACACCACTTCGTAACCCATGTTTTCGCATTCTTCATTGTCATTGACAGAATCGTAATTGAGAACCTTACCGTTCGGATTTGGACTGAAGTCAGTTCGTTGGATTTGAAGCTCGCCAATGGAACGATCCTGATACATGGAGTTGCCCCAGATGATGAGCAGGGTGGGGAAGAAAATGACTTTCTTGGTGGTAAGGCAGTTCACTACTACGGTCCAATGCGTGCTGACAGTGATCGAATTGTTGGTGAGCGCATAGATAGTGAAGTACGCTACTTCTCTAAGTAGGGAGTTGATTGTAGATATCGAGGGTGAGGCTACAGAGAGATTATAAGCACTTAATCCTACCCTGAAGGAGCTGGCGCTTCCTAGTTCTCCAAGTTCCCACCACCTGTCTTTATTGTTGGAATTATGAGGAATACATGTTCCCTTCACCTGTCTTTATTGTTAAAATTTTGAGGAATATAGGTTCTCACCGCCAGCCTTCATTGTTGGAATTCTGAGGAATACTGGTTCCCACCACCGGTATTCATTGCTGAAATTCTGAGAAATACTGGTCCTTCCACTGGCCTTCATTGCCGAAATTCTAAGGAATATTGGTACTTCTGTTTCCTTAGTGCATCCAAGATCGTGGAGAGATCGAGCAGGAGAGCTCCTCTCACGTGCGATGCAAAGAGCTGAGAGTTCAAGGACAAGCAAGAGTGCAAGACCTGCACTCCTTCCTGCGATCAGAACAAAGGGATTAGAGATCTTGCATGTGCATGTATGGGGTTGATCGAATGGAGTGTTCGGGTGGAGTCGGACGACTGATTGCATTGGGCTGAAGGCTAGCTCAATCGGACAGGAGGAGATTTGCGTACCAAGTGCTAAGCCGCTTGAGACATGTTTTTCTGCTGCTATCCTTAAAGCTTGTCGCGACCATAAAAACATATTTTTTCCTACTGTTGTGACTTCATTGCCGGCCTTCTCTTGTGGTTTTTATCCTATCTATAAATAATGCAACCTTCATTGTTGCCCTGCTTAATACCATTTACAAATAATGCAACCTTCATTGTTGCCCTGCTTAATACCATTTACCACCGCAATGTTTGAAGCTAATTTCTCCCAAAGTTTTGACCAAATTGAGGACTCTATGGTGCACCAAAGACCTGATAAATTTACTTTTATGAGACTAATTACCAAGTTGGGAATGATAGATCTGGACTCCTCAACTTGAGGGGGAGTGTTAAATCCCATCAGTCCCTTGCACTTGATCTCACGACCAGGATGGGGATCCGTGGGAGGCTTTCCTGGATCTCGCCGATCTCCATCCATATTTAGGTGGCTGATTTAGGAAGGATTATATTAGGGCAATTATGTATGATTCCATAGTTATTTGTTTCTTTATTAAGATATCATGTATAGATCTATAAATAGGGATAACTTTGTGTAATAAAAAGAAGTCTTTTTCCCTCTCCAATTCTCTGAATATAACAGTTGATAGGCCTACTATAACGCAATAAGAAACAATGAACATCATGGATGGAAATTAGGACATTAGCATGCTCAAGTAGGATCAAGTATTTAACAGACTTCATATCGCCAACAATGTTGAACCTAATTCAAATCATATACAAATATCGAGAGCTGATTTAATTGGACCCAAAAGATGTTGATACTTGAGGACACAATATTATTTCTGTGGCATCAAAGACAATGGCGTGGTAGTTGGAAAAAAGCCTGTACCAAGATAAGAATGACCTTTTCAGTTTAGTAGTAAAGGCATGCTCATTCATTGGCACCTGATTATTTAAAGTTAACACTTAACAAGGGCATGAAATATAATTGGATTTAAATTGATCAGCTGCAGAATTTAGTCAAACTATAAAGGTTCTGGTGTGATTATGGATCATAGAGAATTGGCTTATTTATTGCACTCTCCACTGAAGCCTTACGTTATAAAAACAAAGCAACACATAGCTAAAAACAAAATACCTTTTATCAAACTGACTGAATGAATTACAGAAGAGGTAATATATTTCACCTGATAATATTTTACATCATTTGGCTTATGTGCCAACAGCTAGCTCAATCTGTTTGGCTTGCACTATAGCATATTAGTGAGACTATGTCTATTAAGTTAGTGAGCTTACTAATTGAATTATTGCATTATTGATTTGCTAATGGAACCAACTGAACGTACAAATTCTGATTAATGTAAAACCTCATTGTATCCTTCGATACAAATAATCTCAATTACATAAACTTAAACATTAAGAAACAAAACAAACAATTGAAATCAACATGTTTCATTTCATTGGTACTCTACATGAATTTGTACATGTTGAGCATCATAATTCACCAGCACACCTAAAATATATAAATGAATATTAGAATTAGAACATTCTTCATCAACAGTAATGAAACTAAAAAAATAATAACACATTTCCTTATATATTCAAATTTAGCTAACTTTGCTAATGTAAATGTACTACCTACTATAATTGTATAATTGTATTGCAATATTATCTCTAAGTTCAGCTTTTTATTCTTGAGCTGTGTGTGATCATATGTCCTTTCAACACAAGAATAAAAAAATTTCATGAGGTTTCTCCAACCCTCCTTATTGAAATGCATGGTAGGTCTATTATCCAACTCAATTTCTCTTATACAGATATCACAGTAGATTAACGTGTTTTCGAAATCCCAAGTTGTAGGTGGATTACATTCTTTTTGTTTTTCCATCTATAGGTCAAAACGACATAATTCTTAACACGTAGATAATATAAATATATATATATATATATATTATAATTGAGAAAATGAATGTGTAAGATTTTCATCGCATTACATTATTAGATGCAAATCATAAACACAAATGGTTATAAAAGATAAAAGAAAACCACACGCTAAAGCTTGCAATTTTCTTCCATAACCTATTATATTTGACATTAAAGTTTGCATAAATTTGTTGATTCATTAGGACATGCATATTTGGGAATAGTATATGGAGGTGTGTTTTATCCTTTAATACGTATTGCATGTAATTTGTCAGACTATGTTGTCCTTATGGGTTCTAAATAATAAATATATATTCAAAAGAGTTGATCCTAATATTCTATTAAATGGCATATAAACATAGATTGAAACAAATGAAATGATTTTGTTAGTTGATCACTAACTTAAACAAACTTATTATTTATACATATCAGATGCATTGAACTCTAAATATGTTATAGTAAAAATAGCTAAGAGTACAAACAAACAAATTTGATTATAAATCACTCTAACTAATGTGAGCTGTAACGAACAATCAGTAATACATTAAGACAACAATGAATTTGTATCAAGAAAAACTCTGAAATGCAAAATTATGCATAATCATTCAGCTAAAGTTTTTCAAAAGTCAACCATTATCAGTTTGAAAAGCTACTAAAGATTTAAAAAACAATTAGTAATGTGATACACATTGTCGATTGCGTATAGGGAAGGAGGAAGGGGATGATCCAACCTTGGGCAAGTGAGACATACCTTTGTGAAGCCGAGAATCCAACAAATCGACGAACAAAAGCGTTGCAATGGAGAAACGTTGATGCTGGAAACAAGTCGAAATCGAAATGATATAGGGACTTGCGAAATTGCGAATGTCATTTCTCTGGATGAGTCGTTGGAAAAGAGGAAGCTCGCAGATGTGTTGGTCGATGTGCGTACGTGCTTGGGGTAATTTCAACTATTTTGTTTAAGAACTGAGGTTTGTAACGATATAATCGGATATGAAATAACTTTTAAGGCCAGCTAAAAAATGTGAAGTTTTGCAAAAAAAAAAACCGTGCTTCCAAACAAGTGAGAATAACTGATTTTGGCGTACCCAAAAATGGTGTAACTAAGACTTGGTTAGAAAGCGCTAGAAATGACCGTTTTATTAGATTTATGTAATCAAACCCATATAGTGGGATAAATGGTTGATGTTGTTGTTGTACTGAAATAGACCAACCCACTTCCTATCTTCATCAATTATGATTGTGAATGTTGGTATTCTGGTTTCCTCGGTAATCTTTAATATGTGGATGCCATGTGCATAATTGTTTTTTATTTTTCTAGGGAGAACTTCTCCGTGCTTTGGGTGGAGCAAAAGCTTCAGCAACACTTCTTGGAGTTCCACTTGGCCACAATTCATCTTTCTTGCAAGGCCCTGCCTTTGCGCCTCCTCGCATTAGGGAGGCCATATGGTGTGGCAGCACTAATTCTAGTACTGAAGAAGGTATGTAAGAGCCAATGTGACTTCTTGTTTTAGTATCCTAGCTTTCTATTGGAGCACATTATGTTATTGACAACAATATTAGTGCCACGCCATGCCACGGCTGGTGATGTTAAGCTAGTTCATTGTAGGACCGTTTGTGTTTTTTTTTTGCCAGTTTAAAAAGAAGGCAAAATACCTAAGTTTTGTTTTCTTCGCCTTCCCCTTTTCAACACATGAGACATTAGATTCGTTATTTATAGTTTTATATGTGAAAACTATAACATTATAATGAGGATGCCACTCAACAAAGCATTTTTGTCTTCCTCTTCTTTGAGATTATAGAATTTAGGTTTCTCCTATAAATGAGTCTAGTACATTTGCAATCCATCATTTGTGATTCGTCTACTATCTTTTTTGCTGATTTCATCTAACTATTTCTGCGAAAACTGTCTTAATTGACCATTATCACAATTTAATTAAACCTAATTTATGAAGACTTTGAACTAAAAAACACTGTTGTGTAACGTGAGCTTTAATTGCAACTCGTGGTGGCTTTCCTGGAGCTGCTTGGTATTTATTCCTTTTCTGTTTGAAAGTGGCTGAGCCTGATAAATTAATAATTCCAAAGTTTAGTTGTGTATAAACTAGCTTATCTGGTTTAATTTTTGCTCTGCAAGTGCATTCTTGCGTAAGATTTATTTGGCACTGTTTTAGTTGGCTTGTTATTGACTGATAATGTAATTAATGGCTAATGAAAAATTTTTGTGAGCTCAAGTATGAGGCTTTGACCAGATATGCGACAATAGCCAAATGACTGCATTATGTTTGCCTATGTTTATGTTCTGATATGAAAGGAATGCCTGATAGAATTATGTTAAAATGATTTTTATGCTAAACTGCAGATACATCTCTTATTTCTTGTTCTTTTTTGTTTCCTTAGACTGGAGCAGTTTAATATCACGCGCTCCCTTATTTTGACTGATATGCAGGCAAAGAACTAAATGATCCTCGTGTTTTAACTGATGTTGGCGATGTTCCTATCCAAGAGATTCGAGACTGTGGTGTAAATGATGACAAATTAATGAATATAATTAGTGAATCTGTCAAACTAGTGATGGAAGAAGTGAGTCTCTCTCTCTCTCTCTCTCTCTCTCTCTCTCTCTCTCTCTCTCCCCCTACAATGGCTGGGCAGAAAATAATCGTTCAGTCATAACTTTCTTGTTATAATCACTTCTCTCAATCTATTTGTCAAATTTTTTCCGCATGAGAGCTAAATTATCACATATTAAATTATTCACAAGATAGGGTCAAAGGTTCTCTTTAAATGCAAATAGTTGAGTAATTCATTTTTTTGGGGCTATGTTAGTATTTTGAAAATCTGGCATTAATGTGAAGATGCTGAAGAGATCATTTATTGACTTTGAGAAGTATTGTGAGAGTTCTTAGTGATTTTAAAATATCTTGCAATATTTTGTGAAATCCTATGATAAATTCTATGCCCTAATACATTTCTTATTAGCAATCTGCGTGTATCATCATTTTATAAAGTATTTTGGACTGGATTTATGAATCCTCAACGCATTAACTCAAGTTATTGTTGCATAAGTTGCTGGCTATTTTTTTAACAAATTTGATTGGTGAAGCATTCACGGATAGATGACTAAAATACTGTAGATGCAGGGAAGCATTTTATTCTTGCTGAAACTGTTTGCTCAATCTATTTAGAAGCTCTTTCCATTCAATCAAGATATTTTCACTCTCTTCTATTACAGGAACCACTTCACCCATTAATTTTAGGTGGTGATCACTCTATTTCATATCCTGTTGTTAGAGCTGTGTCAGAAAAGCTTGGCGGACCGATAGACATTCTTCATCTTGATGCCCATCCTGATATCTACGATGCATTTGAAGGCAATAAATACTCCCACGCTTCTTCTTTTGCACGAATAATGGAAGGGGGTTATGCTCGTCGACTACTACAGGTAATGGTCATAGTTTTCTAATTTTTAAACTACGTTCTTTTATATTTGCTCCAAAAATTGATCTCTTGGAGGAAGCTGCTGATATAAAACGGGTTAAATTACTTAATTATGTTTTGATAAGATATTCATGGTCCTTCCTGCAAAATCATTTTTTTGTTTGAAAAAATATTTGAACATTACCAGAATTGTCATATCATTATCTACTAAAATGCTTGATGATGATGTTGCTACCATATTTAGCGCGGAAACCATTTTGCATTATTTCATATGGAGCTGTATGATTATTTTGATGGTATTTTATCATTGTAATATAGGCTTCATTTGGGATGGCTTTCTTACTGCTTCATAAAACAACTTTATAGTATAAAAATTAAAATTTTTGTACTAAAAAATTGTTTTGAAATTTTTGTACTACTAAAATGCTTTATGGCAGTAGGAAAGTCGTCCCAAATGAAACCATAAACAATCATTTTATGCAGGCTTTATCCATTGGTACAATGACATTCACAGGTTTGGCGCTTTAGTTTCCTTTAGAATTAATAATCCCTGCATGTGGGACGATTCAGGCACTTTTGATTTTGTAACTAGAGTGGCCATGCATTTATGCTACACCTAATTATCATAACTTTGTTCAGGATGGTGCGATAGAACTTCAAAAGTGGTAGGAAGACTTCTTTTTCCTCCACATTAATTTTTCGTTACCCAACATAGTGGGATAAAGACTTGATATTATTATTGTTGTTGGAAATGTTGAAATTTTGAGTATATTGCCTTTTTATCTGTTTTCATGAAAGTTATGTGGGGCTAGCTTTATGTTGAAGAAGCTATATAAACATGCTGGAGCTATCAAGTTGATTAATAAATCAAAACTATTTATTCTGCCAGTTGATTCTAAGATAGCTTCATTTACAATTAAAGACAATCACAGTATACTGTGTATTTAACATAAATATGGTTATTATTACATGTAAAAGTATTTGAATGGTATTTTCAAAGCCCCAACTTTTGGATTTTAATTATTAAATTTTTCTGCTGTTCCTGACTCCATTGTATAGATCATCTAAAAATGGCTCGGCCTCTGTCATGATAGATAAAATGCTAGTGGGATACAACTTGTTCAAGCCCCCTTCTTTTTGCCGAAGTTTGCCTTCCCATAATAAAGTATTGAGCTTCGTTTTTCAATTTGAAAGGAAAATGTTACTACTTTAGAGACGTGATTTGGTTCTTGTATTTTCTGTTGCGCAGGTTGGGCTTAGATCAATTACTGCAGAAGGTCGCGAGCAAGGAAGAAGATTTGGTGTGGAGCAGTATGAAATGCGCACATTTTCAAGGGATCGACATGAGTTGGAAAATCTGGTATGATATCATGACCCACCTTTATTCTCCCTATCCTCAGGCCTTCTCCTACCGAACTCCAGCCGAATAGCAAAACTTCCGGTATTTGATTGCAGGTGAACAGTGCGACGCCGATATTGGCGTGGCACTATTCACCTGCGTTATTTTCTGTCTCTATCGAATTTGCCGAAGAAACGCGTGAAAGAGGAGAAAGATGTTACCTTCTGCAAAGGGCGCAAAATGGAGTTCGATTGGAGATGAATCATGCCATTTTTTTAGTTTCTCTACATTTTGAATTGAAAAATGAGATTTTCGTTTGCCCTTAAGCCTTCCAACATGATGGAAACACGCATTCACCTCAATAAAAAATAGTTAAGGATCTCCATGGCTCGTAAATCACAGTGTAAACATCTCTACTATTTTGGCAATTGTGCAGAAACTCGGTGAAGGAGTAAAGGGGGTTTACATCTCCATAGATGTGGATTGTCTTGATCCAGCATTTGCCCCCGGAGTTTCTCATATCGAACCAGGAGGCCTATCGTTCCGTGATGTCCTGAATATCCTCCACAATCTGCAAGCTAACGTTGTAGCCGCTGACGTAGTAGAATTCAATCCCCAGCGAGATACTGTCGACGGAATGACTGCTATGGTGGCTGCCAAGCTGGTGAGGGAGCTCACAGCTAAGATTTCTAAATAGAGCAGTCTTTCTATATCCATTTTAGATCAAAGAGAAGATGTAAAATTTAGAGATAAAAAGATGTACATGTGCAGGTGGGGACTATGGCTTTATCTTTGTGTTTGTTCTTTAAGCAAATTGGCTGAACAATTGCATGTGCATATGTTGCAGCACTGCTCCAACAGCAGCAAGGGCTCGTACTATTGCCGTTCTAGTGCTTTAACATACGTGAAGCCTGGATATAATCAGACTCATTATATGTATATTTGAGCTAATTAAGGTAAACGCACATTAATTAATATGTGCTACTACATAGCGGTATCGAGCATCGATACTAAGCAAAAAATTGACGTGACGTATTTTGATAAAGCAAATATATTTAAAAAAATAATAATTTCTTAATTCAATATGAATGAATTTAAGTAGTATATATATGTGCGTATATCAACAATTTTTATCAAAAAAATTGTAAAAAAAAATCTCACAATAATGGGAGCAGGTTCTTCATAGCCTCAACAGCATCACGTCACATGCTTAAGGTTCATGCACTTTTCAAAATTACAATAATTAAACAGTATTCTTCCATTCTTGTCAATAATGCCTGCATAGGAATTTTTAATAATTTGAATCATTGATGAGTCTATTTCATGCCTATCATTTACAGGATTGATCTTCTCAACCTTTCTTTCGAGAAGGTCTTTACTGTATTGTAGTCATGAAATAGGTACAATTAATTAGAATTTATTTGTGATGATTGTAGCTTTTTATAATGAACATAGTTATCTCAAATAGATCATAAATTGTTTGATTTGTTAGTAGTTTATTGGAGAAGTATTTTCTTATGATTATACATTTCAAGTGGCATATATTTTTGCTTATTATTTCATGTATGATTTTATTTTATGATTATTTTTTTAAGAAACTATTGAAAAATAAATACTTTCAGTTTAATCAATTTTATTTTTGATAATGATTTAGCATTTATGTTTGCCCGTCTCTTTTTTAGCTGAAAGCCCTACCTACTATAATAAGAGAAAAACAATATAAGAAACATTACATTGTGCCGATTAAAAATTTATTATTATTTGGATGATCACAGAATTAATTGTAAAACTTTTAACCCAAATACTTATGCTTAGAGGTGTAAGAATTGTATTAAAATACTTATTTTGTCACATGAATTTCTTGATAGCATATCAAGAAAATAAGACACTTCTCCTTAAATATAAGCTTAAGATATTTTCCTCAAATTATAAAATACCTCTTTTTGATAAAAATAATAACCAAAATATTATTTATTAGAAAATAAGAATATCTTGCAGTAAAGAAGCTTATTTGTAAGATTACAATGTAAGTGTTTCATATTTAAATCTAAATATAGCTAGGCTTCTTTTGGAAATATTTTAGGCCACTATTTTTAACTTTTTTTAAGATATTTTTGTACAAAAAAGTAACTTTACAAAACAATAAGAAAGCTATCCCAAATGATACCATAATCAAAATGTCACGAAACAAAAATCCTATCTTAGGGATTATTTTGGTGCAAATTTTGATGTTAAGGGTTTTACTATTTTTGATGTTTAGCTAAAAGTACATCAAATTCATGGTATTCTCATGAAATTTGTAATTCTTCTTAAGCTCATTATTGTTGTTCGTAGAATTTTGCAAAATCAAAAGAATTTCAAATATCAAATACAACATATGTGAAGAAACTAAATTATAATATAAACAACAATGTGCGATGCCAGTTATCTTGCTCGAAGACATTGGTGACCTCCCCTCTCAACCTCGACATCTCTTCACGATGAAAACTTCCCTATTGTAACAAACTCTTTCGAAAAAGATCTCTCATCTTTGCATAGGTGCGACTGCATTTGCCTTGATGTTCGACCTTACAATATGAAGACCTTCGCGACCATGCCTCTCGACTTTCACTGTGACTAAAACTCTAGTGATCTCTGTTCGTAATGGAGACCTCGACCCCTTCTCTATTCCCTCCTTGATTGCATTGCCCAA